TTAACAGGTACGTATTCAGTATTCAGACTTTGAAAACCCTCCCTTTACATAGAAATTTTTTTTACTTGGTTTATTTATAGTTTTATTACAAAAAGTGCATTTTATGATGAAATTGATGAAAAAAAAACAGGAATTTCTTGTCGCATATGTCGCATAGAAAAATACTGCGAATCAGCGAATTTCCCTTGAATAAGGCTCCAAAGAAAAAATCAGCGAAGTCGTGAATCTGCAATAAACGAACCGCGAAGTAGCGAGGGATCACTGTATCCCATGCAAATATGAAACATCAATCTGATTGATCTTTGAATGTTTAATCAGAAGATTCTAAGGTCCTTTGCTTATTCAGGGACCATAAACACACTTCGTATTAATTCAGACAGAGTCAGTATATAGTTTATAAAATGAATTTAATCATGTTTCCTAAACTAATGATACATGACAAGATATGAATAATGGGAGGTGGTGTGGTGGAAGCTAGATGTTGTAGCAACCGTTCTTTGTATCTGAGAGAAATTGTGGAATCTGGTTGTAAAAGAGTTTGTTTGTTATAAACTGGAGAGTTGTTTATTGATAAAAACCTCATCAGACTCCAGTATGTAGGCTTACGATACCCTGGTATGAGTTGCTCCCGGCGGTCCGGAGGGTTGCGGTCAGAGTGGTAAGGTCACCGGACGTTGAAACCACGATACTCAGAGATTAGTAGCTTCCTCTGAGTTCAGCTTCCCTGGCCATGAGATGCAACCCGGGGTCTGCAGGTTAGGTGTCCAAGGTGGATGTCTGAGAGTTGAAGTAGCTCTGAAAAGAGCTGTTGTGTCTGTAATCACTTGCAGCGTCACAGAAAGGTTTTGACTTAAGGTCAAAGGTGATTGTTTCAAAAGAGATGCTTCTTTCCCGATTTGGCCGGTTCGAGGGTCAGTGAGAAACTGAATTACTCGGGAAATAATTCTTGTTTTATTAAACTACTTTGTTATGATTTCTGGCCAAGTTTGGCCAATCAGAAATTGACACGTTTCTGAGTATTTACCAACATCCCTCAGAAAGCTACGCCCTCCTCAGATACAAAGATGTTTTTAACACTGTGAATGAGAATGTCTTAAAACTCTTGTGTGAGGTGCTGTAATAGTCCTCATGGTGACATGTTATTGTTGTTATGACACCATGAACTCATCACAGCCGTGCTCTGGACCATGTTGGACAGGACTGGTGTTGTGGTCCAGAGGACACTCTGTCTCACTGTTGTCCCAGACAGTCCCTGAAGAGCCTTCAGACCAACAAACACACAACAGTCATCAGATGAGTGAGAACACAGGACTCCTGGAGGCTTCTTTAATTTGCTAATTGTGTGATCATGTCAGAGGCAGCCCAAGGCATATAAGACTTAAGTGACTGCTTTGGGCCCCCACACCACCAGGGACCCCCAAGAGCACCAAGATGACATGAGAAAAAATGGTTTTAATAACTTATAAAAACTAATATTTCATGTGAGGAAAAAAAACATTTTTCTATATTAGTTTCTGTAGTGTCAATTGGTTTTATTTTGAAGTGCAGCACATTTTACACGTTTCAAATTTTAAGAACAAAAAATAGTAATCCTAACTTTTTTAAACTGTAAATTCAGTGTTTGTCTGCTGATGTTTCTTTCAAACTGTTGAATTAATATACCACACTTAAACTAAAAATGAGCATTTTTTTTTGTTTTTGTTTTTTTGCTCCAGTAAAGCTAAAATCAACATCCACAATAATAACTTAATGATGTGTGAGCTAATTACAAAAGATGCTAACGATGGTGGTCATGTTACACAAATGGTGTAGCCTAGGAATGGTGTTGACTTGTTGGTATGGGGGTCCCCAATAGAAACCCTGCTTGGGGCCCCACAAAGGCTTGGGCCTGCCCTGGATGATGTCATCAGTAAATAAATGCATCAGGTGAACTTTGTTGTGTTCAGATCACTTTTAAAATATCATTTTTAATAAACGATGGCAAAAGCAAGAATTGATGTCATTCTTCTCACCAAAACCTTTCAGGCTCATATAAAACGCTGCTTTACAATAGATCAGCATCTTCAGTCAGAACCAGGAGAACAGACTCTTAACCCTTTAACACTAACGGTAAAATTAGTAACACCATCACTAACACGTGGGGTGAAAATCGTCATTTTTTCCCCACACTTTAAACCCTGCGGCCAGTATGATGGTGTGGGTAATCTGCCGCAGTTTTCCCTGGATGGTAATCAAGAATGTCTTGTATTCCTGATTTAATTTCCGGTGCCTGCCTCTCTGACATCTTGTTGGCGGATTTCAGTTGATTCAGACGGGTTTCAGCAGAAAATCCCACACTGACCTTTAGGGAAAAGCCTAAATATAATTATTATGAATATTGCATTACAAGTGGTGAAATGATTGAGCAGTGTGTCATTCATAGACAATGAATGTTGTAGATATAACCTGTATTGACCTGACCAGATGTAAAGATGCATGTTATTTTTATCCTCTGTGGAATTGGTCCGACAACTAGAAAAATATAAATGAGACATCTTGTCTAGTTGATGTTGGAAATAACCAGTCGAACCCCTGGGCCGAAGAAGAAAAGGGAGGGGGTGTCCACCAAACTCCCCCTGCTGACTGATGACCACAAGAAGAGATGATGTAATCCCTAAGGACAACAAATGGGAGCCTGCAGGAGACGCTGAGAGGAGCAAGCTCATGTTACCAGCAAGGACCGGACATTGTGCTTCATGAACAGGAAGAGGTGCCATGGAGACGACAGCAGAAGAAGGCAGGAGACAAGGAGGAGGGGGGAGGCAGAGATAAAAGGTGGAGTTCGAGAGAGTTCGAGGCTGTGTGATTGGGGTTTTTTGTGCCTTGTGATCTGTAAAAGGATCTTTACCCGCTGCGTCGGGGTTATTCTGTTTGGATTACTCTTTTTTCATCTTTTTTGAATAAAAACCTTGGTTTCTTATTGTGAGAAACTAAAAGGAGCAACTTTGTCTGGGGCCTCCGTCTGTTGTCGGGTAACCGCAAAAGGTGAGAAGCTGGTTACATTATATCCCACTCCAAGGTGCTTGGGCTAGTCAGTATAAAGTCATTAACCTGAGCACACATAAGCCACAGGTGACTGAGGGTGTGTTTGTGGTTGAACTGAGTCTTCCTTGAGCTTCAAACAGTTTGTGTTGCCAGAATCAGAATCTAGGTTACTGGTGATTGCTAATTAGCTCCTACGGCGTGCAGGCAGTTTAAAGAGCGGCTGATATCACGCCCACTCACAAATAGAAATACAAGTCAACCCTGAGATGGTAATATCTTTATAACAGTGAGGCTAGCTTGGGAAGATCGCTTGTAACATCAATAAATAACAGTGTTAAAAAGGCTCGTGGTTACATGTTTAAAATGGGGATTCTCAATTAAAACACATCTCAAAAGCTCTCAAACATACCAACACAAAGGTCCACTAACCATACGGAGCTAAGAGGGAGCCAGCACTTGGGTCCCTCATCTGTTTTAAAAGCCTACAAGTACTCTTGCTTTCACCTATTAAAACGTCTGGACTAAAACCCTTAAAACAGTAATGGAGCCAACAGTGAGACATGGCATAGATCCGGCCTCCTCTGTTGTGTTCTACTTGAACTAGAAGACACTGGACAACTGTGTGCCGTGAACTGGAGCTCAACCTTGTATTCACACTCCCCTCTCCCACACACTAACACACCCCACAGTCCTGACGTGTCCACTGGCAGCAACCAAACAACATAAGCTGAGGCAAGATAACTCAGGTAAGGGCAAAGGAATCAACGAGTCCCTGTGGCAAGTCCACCCTATAAGACCTGAGTGAGTAATGTTTTTTGGTTCAAAATACCTGGTGTCTTCACATCTGTCACGCTTTGCCCGATGGCGTCTGTTGTAGTTCTGTGCATTGTACGTCCTCTTGTCCTCCTCTCTTTGCACAAGCATTGGCTGCTCAGGCAGCACAGGATCCAACAGTGAAGAAACACTACTTGGTATGTATACTGTATGTTGTGTGTGTGTCTGCTCTGTCTTCTCCAGGATCCTCTGGAGGTTTCTTCCTGTTAAAAGGGAGTTTTCCTCTCCACAGTCGCTAAATGCTTGTTTAGTATGACGATTACTGTAAAGACTCTGACTCTAGTCAGTGACTTGATGCAACATGCTGGGTTCCTTATGTAGGACTTTTTTTTCTAATTGGCTTAATGAACTGACCTGTATTGGAATGTTTACTGTATGAAGTGCCTTGAGACGACTCTTGTCGTGATTTGGCGCTTTATAAATAAACTTAAATGAATTTTATCATGACCAAATTGTCTTAGGACGCATTTCCTGTTCCTTTTGAGCGCAGCAATCTGTACTAAATACCTTCACTAAAACAATTAGATTTTGGGTCAGAAGTATAACAAAATGTAGTGTACTTGTTTTTTCAGGGCTTTTGACGAAACCGTTAAAAAAAACATTTCGACAAATATTTTGTCTGAAAAACCACCAGCGGAAGATATGTGTGAGAGCCAGGTGTGTTTTATTCTGCTCCAGCAGGTGGCGGTAGTGCATCTTTACGCTGGTCATTGACCACCAGAAGAAGCAGAAACCAGAAGCTACTAGCAGAGCTAGCTTGTTGTTCTGGTGTGTGAGGAGAATATTTGAGGCTCTGCAGTAAAAATGTCTTCACTTCAGTCTCTGGGAGAGTTGATCAGCTAAAGCGACTAACTGCTGCTGCTGCAGAAATCTTCTCACCAGGCTGTGGAAACTTTCTTCTCCTCCTCAACAACTTGGTGGAGTTCTTTCCAGAACCAGAGAAGATATTCTGCGGTCTTCGTGACAATCGGAGCTCCAGAATCAGGTTGTGGGTGAGAAAAGCTTTTCTCTAGACTTCCTGCCCTCTGGATCTGCTGCTGTTCCTTTGGCCAGAACCAAAGCGTTGGATCTTTAATCTCCTGCGTTGTTCTGAAGCAGCATCTTAATCAGCTCTCCTGCTTTGTTTCTATTGCAGCTGTTAGCTAAACACGGCTAAAGAAAACCTGCTACCACTTCAGGATCATCCATCAGCTGGGACTGATTCATCGTGTGTTCTTCACCACCTGGACCTGGACAGCATGGACACAGGTACTGGTGGATGAATGAATATATTGTCAGTCTATTGTAACCCTGGCGTCAGATTAAGTTACCACTTATTCAAATAATAATAATAAATAGGCCAGACTCTAGGTCCAACAGGATTACCTTACAAATGACCAGTGAGTGGGAAATGGAATAGCTGGATCCAAAGAATGAGCAAAAGAACACAGTTGCACCAGATTTGTAATTTTATATAGAAATATGAAAATAGAACAAAAAATACTGCAGCTGCAATAGACATATAATTAAACAATTAGGCCTTTCCCCCTATATCAGTAAACCTAGTCAGGTTGAGCTCAAAGTCAGTCTTCTATTTGGTCGTAGTCGAGTCAAAAAGAAAGTCTCCTCGGTCTTGTAAAACTCAGGTTCAGTGGTCTGAGTGGTTACCACTGGAATGTTGGCTCAGTATAGAAGAATGATGTTCTCCTGATCGGGATTCAGTTCAGTTCGGGCACAGGCTCGCCATCTCCATCCGGAGATCACTGATGCGGCCGGCAAGCAGCGAGCGCTCCGCTGTTTTTGTGGTCGGTAGATCTATTAGAACTGCAGTTCAAAGGTAACTCATAAGGTGAATATATATGAACCCAGGTAGTTTCTCTTTAGGATTGAGAGGAGATGCAGGAAGATAATAAACAGACAGGACAGAAAAATAGTCAAATAAAAACAAGTTAGTTTTTGTACCTGGTGGTTGCAACAAACAGACACCATTGAAGGTAATCAGAAGTGAGGAACAGAAAATGAAATAATTATTTTAATGTTTATAGCAGCAGGAACTCTGAGAGGCTGCAGGCGCATCAGTTAGTTTGCAGCCGCTGCGCAGGGGGAGGGGGGAGAGGGCTGAAGCAGAAACTACCGTTGTTAAAAGAAATGTGTTTAACTTTGAAAATGTGGGCGCAGTTTTAATTGTCAAAAACTCCAGAGAACCATTAGTTCATTTTGCTCAAATAGAAATATGTAGAGGCCTGCCTCTAATACTGGCCCTCCTTCCAATAATAGGCCTTTTCCACCGACCAAACTGGCATGGAATGGGAAGGATCGGGTCACTAAATATTCTGTTTCGATTGTTTAAACCAGTCCAGGAAACTACCCGAACCGGTCCAGTAGCGGGCCAGAGCGGGACCCCTTCTGTTGTGGGTCCAGAGATTTTTGGTCTGGGCGGAGCCAAAGCGTAAAAGGTCCAGAGTCCTCTGATTGGGGGAGAAATTACGTAACTACCCGCGACAATCCCAGGGGATGGAAAAAGAAGTGAGTCGAGTTCCAGTGTTTGTTTGGCTGTACTTCTTGTGTGTGAAAATGCCTGCAAGTAATAGCTTTTGGTCCAATGGGGAGCTTCAAACGTTCCTCACCATCATCGGAGATAGCAACATTCAGGCCGAGCTGGATGGGATGATAAGAAATGAGAAAGTCTTCAAAGAAGTTTCTCAGCGCATGGCAGCTGAAGGATTCCAGCGCACCTCCGAGCAGTGTCGTGCTAAGCTGAAAAAAATAAAAGCCCACTACAGAAAAGTTAAGGACAGCAACGGCCGTAGTGGGAATGGGCGAAGTACATGGAAGTGGTACGATGTGGTGGACGCTATTTATGGACACAGACCGTCAAACCGAGGCAGCGAAGGAGGCCTGGACTCAGCGACCAGTATCCTGGAGTCACTCATAAACCCTGTTGGTAAGCATTTCTTTTGTTGTCTTTTTAGCTCTGCAGGCCATTCATTGCAGCACCAAAAACACTGAATAATAGCAGCAGCTATTTAAGAAATGCTCAGCAAGTAAAGGATTTAGCCCCTCATGTTAACTAGCCTTAGCATCCCCTCGTGTTTATGCTAACCTTCATTTAGCATTCCCCCGTGTTTCTTAACACGCTGTTCGCGATATAAGCCTTTCATGTTTAGCATGTCCTTGTTGAGTACATGAGGCTGGAGCGGAGTTTGCCTTTCTTGTTAGCGTCTCATTGTTTAAAACATGGGAAATTCGGTTAGCCTTTCACGTTAGCATCTCAGTGTTGTTAGCATCTCATTGATTTATACAGCTGAGCACGCACAGTGAGAAGAAGCGAGCTGATCTAATATTATAAATATCCCAAAAGTCGTGCCAGCAGTGTTTTTCGCCTAGAGTGGACTTTTAACAAGTATATATTTTTCGGATGAATAAGAATATAACATTAAATTGCAATTAATCTGTACGTCACTGGCGAATTACTGCCATCTAGTGGACACGTTCCAAATGACAAAATGGCCTTAAATCATAGCAGTTTTATTAAGTTTACTATATGCCTATATGCTCTTTTGCTGTAAAAATATTGTGCTTTTCTTACCGATTTATTTCGTGACCTTTTCTTACTGACTAATTTTTTGATCTGTGTTTTTCAGACACATCTGAAGCGGAAAACACTCCCTCTTCAGAGGAACCATCCACTTCCTCAAGTAGCACTCCAGGACCTTCTGTGCCACCATCACCTCTGTCCGTACCTTCTGTGCCACCATCGCCTCGGCCAGTTCCATCGCCACCACCATCACCTCTGTCCACTACCACTCGAGAGGAACATCTACCATGTTGTCGACGCACAGGTAGTGTCTGACCATTCTAAAAATTGCTTTGTGCATAAACAAAACTGACAAGTTCACTGGACAACTGACATTTTGATATCCATATAAACACAAATGTAATTGTCAATGTTGTTGTTTCCAGGTGACCGAAGACGGCGATTGGAAGCACGAACACAGGTGATATTTGATGAGTTGCAGATCGCAGATGGCAGGCAGATGGACAGAATGGAAGGCATAAGCCGGGAGCAGGTTAACTGGATGCAACAAGACGCAGCAGCATCAAGACAACATGAATTACAGATCGCAGAGCGATATTTTGAACATTTGGGTGCCCTAAATGCTGTTCTTTGACTGGTCGCACAAAGAATGGGCAGCTCCTCTGACTTCCTGCCACCACCCAGGCAGTAAGGTGCTATGTATTTGTCCCGTAATTTTTTTTATCCGTCTGTCCTTTTTATCAATACATTTTCAAAGAAAAACAAGGTGTGCATGAATTGTCTTAAAAATTTTTGCTCGCAAATTTACGTTTACATAATAAATGTAGATTACATTACAGCCCACCTTAAATATATGTTAAAATGAAAAGGTGCAACAGTTCGTTAACAGTAAAATAGTGTACTTTATTAAGTTCTGAAAATAAAACAAACATTTCAGTTCAAACTACAGGCTTCGAACAGTTAAAAGTGTCAAAACAATAAACAAAGTAAATGGAAAGAAAAAACACAAACTGAGGTCAGCGGGTGAAGTGTCGCATCAGAGCTTCACGCACATCACTGCCCTCCTCTGCAACTTCCTGCATATTTGCAACCACTGGTTCATCAGCAGGTGCGTCACATTCTATATATTCCTCCCCATGGCTCTCACAGATATTGTGAAGCACACAACAGGTCAGCACCATGTGTTTAAGAAGCTCTACATCACTGTCGTTTCTCTTCAGAAGACATCGCCACCTACCCTTTAGCCTCCCAAATGCATTTTCGACCACAACTCTGGCTCTGGACGTTTTCCTGTTGTACGCCTGTTGTTCAGCAGTGAGACGACCGTTGTCAGAAAATGGTTTTAGGAGCCAGTTCTGTAGAGGATAGGCAGAGTCCCCGAGCACATAAAAGCGTACATTTACTCCCTCAGTGTTCTTGGTACTAGTTGGGTGCAGTTGTCCATGAGCAACCAAGTCCCAAAATGTGGACAATCGCAGCACACGGGCATCATGCAAGCTACCTGGCTGACCTGCATTAACATTCCAGAACATGCCTCTGCCATCCACAATGCCATGGAGGATTATGGAATGCCAACCTTTCCTATTGAAGTAGTCTGTGTGGAATCCCTGTGGTGCGATTATTGGGATATGGGAACCATCGATGGCACCCACACACTGAGGAACCCCCCACCTGGTCTCAAAATAGTCAGCCATTTCCTGTAGCTTTTGCAGAGTTGGAAAAGCAATAACCTCGGCAAGCAAAAGTTTACAGACAGCCTTACAGAAGTCCTGCACACAGCGGCACACAGAGGTCGTGCTGACACCAAAAAGAAGCCCGATGCTCCTGTATTCACTGTTAGTTGCAAGCTTCCACAGTGCAATTGCAACTCTTTTCCTGAGTGGCACGCAGGCTCTGAAGTTGGTGTTCCTCTTCTGCATGGCTGGACGGAGCTTGGAACAAAGATATGAAAAGGTCTCTTCTGACATTCTGAAATGAGCTATCCAATCTGACGGAGTGAAGTTTGGCATGGTCACATCCCAGAAGGCGCTGGCACGGCTGAAGGCCCACACAGTTGGTTGCCGTCGCTGATTCAAAAGAGCCAACTAAAAAAAAAAACAGTCATAACACAGTAAAAGTAAAAAGAATAGTGCTGTGAAAAAGATTGAAACAGTATGGTTATAGACATAAAGTTCACATCAATAGAATTTGTTTAAGGTTAAAGTAACAGCTGTTCTTTATGGCACTACCAGTGACTGGTTATGTTTTGTTCACTTTATAAAATGCACAAATGTGGTATTGCTTGTAATTACCTATATAATTAATTATAATAATTTCAGTACAGCTGCACAACTTATCTATGACATGCCCAGGAAGTAAAGAGTGAAGGATTCAGGCCCTCCTGTTGACTAGCATCACCATGAGTGCAGAAGCTGTTTGAAACTTAGTTAGGTGTTGGCCTTTCATGTTTAGCATGTCTTAAATGACCAATATACAACCAAACCATTTGATTTTGGTGCTTTTTTTTTTTTTTTTTTTTTTTTGATAGTTGCCCTAGACACCCCTTCAGAGATTATAACGACATGTATTACAGCATTAGAAGTTACTTACCACCTGGCGCCTCCGTCTTTGTCTCAACAGTAGAAAGTTATGCCTCGTGTCCGATATTAATTTCAGAAAGCGTCGTCGCCTTTCAGCTGCCCTCCTCCTCGTTGCGCCCAGCATAGCTCTAAACGCTATCGTGATGTGGGTGTAAAGACTATACCAAACACCAAGAACAGAAAGAACGCGCTGGTGACTGGACTCCATTGTTGTTGTGTTTTGGCGCGATCTCGTCGCGCTGTGTGACGCATTACGCTACCCCGCCTAGTTACTGGAGCCTGGAATGTGATAGAAACGCTTGCCAGAAAACTTCTAGACCCATACCGGTACATACCGGTCCATAATACCCAGACCTGACCGTCCCAGACCAGGCGATGGAAAAGAGCTATAAAGGCCTGAAGCTTGATGAGCTTGAGTCAAATACAGGCCCGGGCCTGTATTAGAGGATTTACGATATATTGCAGCCTGTTGGCTAAGAAATAATAATAAAAGTTGGGTAGATCAAGTCCTCCTCTGTCTTTGGTCTTCTGAAGCGTTTTGAAGCTAATTCGTGGAGGTTTATCTTGCCAAAGAAATTTAGTAATTGAGGAGTCCAGAGATTTAAACCAGTCAGCTGGTGGTTTGTTTGGGATCATCGAGAATAAGTAATTTATTCTGGGTAAGACCATCATTTTAATTGTAGCAACCCTCCCTGTGAGTGATATCTGTAAGGATTTCCATCTTGCATGATCATCTTCCACTTTCTTTAAAAGTGGGATGCAGTTTAGTTTGGTTAGATCTGCCAGCTTGGGAGAGACATTTAATTCCCAGGTATGTGATATTCCCTGACTCCAATTGTGTATTAAGCAAATTGACAAATGAGAAATTAATTGGTAGAACTGTGGATTTTAACCAGTTTATAGAGTAATCTGAAACACTGGAAAAAGAGTTTATCAGTTCTATTGAATGGGAGAGAGAGGATTGAGAATTCTGGAGAAAGAGTAAAACATCATCTGCATAAAAATAGCAAACAGTGAGGGGGAGAGTGGGCATCCCTGCCTGGTCCCCCTCTGAAGACAGAAGCTAGCGGATATTTGGTCGTTTGTCCTGACACGTGCAGTTGGTGAACTGTATAATGTTTGTAGCCAGTTTATGAAGAAGTTCCCAAAGCCAAATTTATGTAAAGTTGCAAATAAGAACTTCCAGTTAACTCTATCAAAAGCTTTTTCTGCATCTAGAGATAATATACTAGTTTCTATGTTTCTACTGTAAGAGAAATCTATCAAATTAAGTAATCTACGCGAGTTTGTGGATGACTGTCTACCCTTAATGAAACCAGTTTGGTCAGGGTGTATTATGAAGGGGGTTGCCTTCTCTAATCTTTTTGCCAGGGCTTTACAAATTATTTTGAGATCAACATTAATAAGAGAAATTGGGCGATAGCTGGTTGAAAATGCTGGGTCTTTGCCTGGTTTTAACAAGAGACTAATATTGGCTGAATTCATGTTTGGCTGTAATCTGCCGCTCTCTTCGATTTCCCTCACCATTCTGAAAAATATTGGAGCCAGAATGATCCAGAATTCTTTGTAGAACTCTGCTGGAAACCCATCTGGATCTGGAGCTTTCCTATTAGTCATGGATTTAAGGGCTTCCTGGAGCTCCGCTGATGTTAGTGGCGAGTCCAGGACTGTAACTTGGCTGTCTGATAATTTAGGAAGTGTTATCCTGTCAAGGAACTCATTGATCTCGTTATCAGATGGGTTTATCTGTGGTGAGTACAAAGTTTGTTAAAAGTCTCTGAAGGTGTTGTTTATGCTTTCAGGGTCATAAACTACATTCCCGGTTGAGTCTTTAACAGCAGATATGGTAGTTTTCCCTTTATTAATTTTTAATTGGCTAGCTAAGAATTTACCTGATTTATTACTATGTTCAAAGTTTTCTATTCGTAGTCTTTGTGCTAAAAATTGTGTCTTTTTGTCAATAATTCTGTTGGGGTAATTAGGAGCGAGTAATTAGTAATTAATTAATTACTTTTGGATTCTTCAATAAATTCTGTAAATATGGGAATATTTACCGAGTTATTAATTGATTAAGATACTCTTTAGGAATCTTCGGGGCACCATCCCCTTTTACCGGGGAAAAATTGAATCCAAAACTCTTATCAGTCCATCAAAAAGATGTGAATCCTAGGAGCAGAAATTTCAACCAACACAAACAAAGTCTCTTGAGGCAAAATCTGAATTTTATAACATTTAATTAAACAAGGAGATTAATAATGCAAAACAATTTGATATAATTGGAAATGTGTGTGTGTGTGTAATGGAGGATGTCCCCACAAAGACTAAAAACACGTATGAGTGTGTGTGTGTGTGTGAATGATTGCTTCGTCCTCCCAGAGCACTAAAACATGTACGTGTGTGTGTGTGTGTGAGATGGAGGATGTACGAATGGGGCTTTGTTTTCCCAGGTGTGTGGGGAGTGTGTGTGTCTGATAAGGCTGGAGGATGTGTGTGTGATTTTTCTTTTCTCTCCGATGCAGGCAAAGGAATTAGACTTAGTGACTTAAAATCATCACAGTAAAACTTAACTTTAACACTTCAAAAGTTGACAAAACACTTCAGAAAGATTGATAAACAACAAAGGTCACTCGTAAATTAACATCTGACAGTTTAAACAGCCTGGCCACAGCTGGAAACTATTTAAAGATATTAACGATGACTAATAAACAGTTTACTCTACTAAATAACCCTGTGAGCGGATTTTGATACGGA